ACCACTAAGCCAAAGACAGCAGAAAAGTGTTAGGGAGGGAGAGGTGACACCGAGGCTCTTGAACCATGTGTGGTTGCCAGAATGAAGCGTTTCACATTCACGCTGGGTCATTAACTAAAACCATCTCAGCACCAAAGTTCAAGCTCACATTCCAGTAGTCAGATAAGCATTCAAACATCCTATCAAATCCAATTTTTGCTTCTTACAAACTAATTTCTTCCCATTCTAAGTCCTGCACCAGTCTTCTCTCTGGGCTGTCAGATTGCCCTGTCATTTAGACCTCGTGTGAGGGCACATAGCTCTTGTTAAGATATAGTGGCAACCAGCAGATGTTTGCCACCTCCAGTGAGTGTCTATCATCACGCCACCATCTGTGGTGATTAGTGAGCATGGTGGTCTCAGACACTTGTCTCCATTGCTATGATCCTCAAAGCTCAGCTACCAGTTCCAACAAACCCCTAATGCCAAGAAAACCCTTAGAGATAAAACCTTTACAATTGATTGGTTAACAAAAGATTCATTGCACTGGACATCCTGTTAAAAACAGGTGGGCATATGAGCTCTCAATGCCTCAGGCCCATCTGCACTCTCTGTCCTCTTCCAAAAACAAACACAGTAGTTATACATGCAAAATCAGCAATAATAATGTGGTCTTAAAACAGGGGAGTCATCGCTTGGCTTTTGATCAGCTTAAAAATCTTAAGTCATGAAGCTGAATTTGGCTACTTTAACTTAAAGCAGTCAAGCTAATAAATATAATAAATATTAATTTTAATTATTATTTATTATGGTTTCTTTTTTTATATTATGTATTTTATTTCCTCATTTGATTATTTTGTTCTGTACTGTAGCATTTTAAGTATGGGAAAGGCACATTAAAAAAAAATGTATTATTATTATTTTACATTAAGGTTTGGTCATATGATGATTCAAAGTGTTTTAGACCGTTTATAGAAAGAGTCTGTACGTGCGCAGCTTGTATGTGTAAAAGTGATCCAACTAATTCCTGCATTTAAAGCTGCATTTAAATCTTGTTTAAAAAATGTTTCACAGTACTAAAATAAAATACTATATTTAATGTTGAGTATAATATGAAAATGTAACGGGGGCATATTTGTGGGTCCTGATAAATCCAAATGTCTGATTTTACCATTAAAAAAAGCATACATTATCGGTGGCATGGTCCAAGTATGTGTCTAACATAATTCTGTATTTTTAGCTTCAGAATAATGTATTTTTTTTCTTTCTGGTGTAACCATTGTCAACTGCATTGGGGACCAGGAACAAGTCCAAGTCTACTGAAGTCCAACCCCAATTTTGCTTATTAATAATATTTTAACAGTACATTCATACCTTTGTTTATTTGTTACCATACTATGCGCCTTAGAAGTAATAATAATAATAAAATCTTCTTCTTTATTTTGGCTTAAACTATTGCAAGAGTATTGTCCTGTGAGAATCGTATTGAATCATGACATGAGTGTATCATTACACCCCTAACAACGGATGAAGAGGAATCATCACATACAGTGTCACTTTACAGCAAATACACTAAAAACTGACAATATAAACCCCAATAGTCACGAACAGCTGTTCAAATCAATAAGGGTTGTGTGACCTCTTAATGGATAGGAAAGGATTATTAGGGATGGACAACTTGCAAACCCTGTCAAAGTCTCATCTTACAAAAGGTCTACCACAATAACCCCAAGCAGATGGCCTGACTTGGAGATTAAAATCAAATTATGGAGTTTCTTACAAAGTCCTCACTAAAATAAAAACCTCCCAGGCTTTGAGTAGGACCTAATTAAAAGAGACCTTAATCCAAGCCTCTCATCCACTTACTGTGCACTATGACCATGGTCTCCTGTTCAAGGAGGGCCACTGTACTGATGAGCTCCAACTTTTCTGGACGTTTCTAAGGTTGTATATAAAATCGCCTTTACTACTCCACTATATAGTCCACTAAATAAGGGTGTCCAGTCTGTCTTCTGGAAGGCCAATGTCCTAAAGAGTTTAGCTCCAATTTGCTACAGCACGCTTGCCTGGAAGTTCCACTAATACAGTCCACTGAATTAGCGAATAAAAAACCAGTGAGCCAATTCGGACATTGAGTGTAAAAGAAGAACTTTGCAGGGTAGTGCAAAAGTGCTAGTGCAAGGGTATTCTAGCGGCTAGCCATTAAGTGTACTGTACATCGGTTGTACACTTGATATTTAGATATATTATGGGATTGAATGATAATATCCACCATGGATTCGGATACCGATATAGTTGTGTCCCAAATTACAATCTATACACAATGTGCTTATGCACTATGTACTATGCATTTATACACTATGTACTTAATATGCACTATGTACTCAACACTTTATTTAAACTTTATAAGGTTAGTTTGTCATTTAACATCAGAATCTGAATGGCCATCTTGCTCCGCTACGTAATTACAGCTGCAACAGTTGAGTGCAAGAAGTGTCCAACATTACACACTTCATTTTTTTCAGTTTTTGGGGGTAATTTTCAGTGTGAATACACTACTCACTTTTTATGCAACAAAATGGCATTGAATAGTGCATAAGTACACAAATTGGAACACACCACTTCATTAGTTTGTTCAGGTGTGTATGACCTTTAGTCCACTAGTTAAAAGTCTGGCTATAAGACACTAGGCTCTTCATAATCTTTCTGAAAAATGATAAAACAAGCACAGACTTGACAAAAACTTACCCAAAAGATTGACAGCACTTTGATTGCAGGGGCTCTGGGCCATTTCGCTATACTTCCACTGCCCTGCCTGACTGCTCTGTTTACAGAGGTGATGAGGTGATGATCATAAATATAGTCTAACTCGTGCTGTTAACAGAACCGCTAACGGCCCATTGTCCCAGGACGCCTGAATGTACAAGCCCGGGAGGCCTGTAAACCATGAGCCATCTAAAACGTCCGCTTCTCAGGCATGACAGGAAAAGCAGCTGCCCTGGAATGAGCTCAGAGCCTGGCTTCAGATCAGAGGAGCATCGACCCTGACTTCACTGTAGTGCTAAGACTAAAACATGAATATGGAAGGAATTAAGACTGAAGCAGAACTCGCATACCACACAAAATATTTACTTAAAGCAGATCAGATGAACATGATGACCCCAGAAACAGAAGACAGCTCAATTTAAAAACACAAGGAGAGCAAACTATGAACATAGGCGAGAGTATCAAAAGATCATAAAAGGAAAAAAAAAAATATTGGAAAAGAAAACACAGCTGTACACAGCTGTTTATTTGAACTTTCTTTTCCGGGGGAAGAGTGTATAGAATGAGTAGGAAAAGCGTATTGGAACAGCCATTCCATTCTCAATGACTCTTGTTTTGGGAGTTAGATGGCTATGATGTTTTTCAGAGGGCAAGTGTATCTGCCGATCAAACAAAGCAGACTGCTTTGTTTTGATTTGGCAGTCTGGTCAGGCGGCTAGCAGCCCACAAGAGAGACAGATGGTCATTAGCTGGAGCAGGACAGGACAGTGAGCTGGAGTAGCCCCTCCCCCGGCAACATGGCTGGACAACATGTCTCAGGGGTCGAGTAGATGGGGTACAATGTTTATTAGGGCTGGGTAATAAATATCGATTTCTCGATATTAATCGATTCTCATTTTTACAAACCGATATCGATTCTTAAATCTCAAGAATCGATTAGTCATCCTGTTTCGTTTGAATGAATGAGACATTGTATCGCGGCTGCGCGCATCCAACAAATCGCAATAATCTTTGTCCTTTGTTACTATTGATATGAAACAAAGTCTCAATTTTCAAATTACGTCCATTTTCTTTTTCAAAAACATAAATAACGTTTTGGCGCTGTGGCGTGAGATCGCTCTGGCGCAGCTCCAGAGAAGCAGCAGCGCTGATCTCTCTTCCGGGTTAATAATACCAGTTACAGCGCGAAATAAACATGAATGAGCATCTGAAAGCGTGTTAAAAGATAGAGTACAACTTATCTAAATCCCTATCATGTCACATTGATTCGCTCAAACTGCGTTTCATCCGTGGAAAGACGTCAGTTAAACAGCTTGTAATCAATGTCATGTATCGTCATATTTACCTCAGAAAACCCACATAAACTCGTTATAGTCCACACTCGTTAGTGTTCTTCAATATTTAATGCATATTTGAATAAATCTGGCAAGTTTTATGACAGCCACCATTTAAATGTTTATATTTCATATAATCTTCTTATTATAAAAATAAATAAAAGTATAATTTAAGTGTTTGTATAGCTATAGAACAGTTAATTATTACCTTCATATTAGGCTAATGAAGCCTAGTAGGCTACAACTAGACTATATATATAGACCATAGTTTACAGCATTTAAGAGATTTGATTCCCTTGAGAAAATTTGCCATTTATTGTAACTGATATCCAAAATAATCGATATTGAATCGAATCGTAATCGAAATCGAATCGAATTGCAAGCTTGTGAATCGAAATCTAATCGAATTGTGAAATTTGTCTCAATACCCAGCCCTACTGTTTATGCACAACCACTCTGCAAACATGACACCACTGGGGGGCTTTCACATTATTATTGATAAAAGTGCTTTATAAAACCTGCATGGCTTTTCCAACTCTGTGTATTCATTTCATGTCTGATCCGATTTTCTCAAGTTTGCGCTCTGCTGACCAGAAAGCCTTGAAGAAACGAGAAAGAGGGCCCTATCGTACACCCGGCACAATGCGGCGCCAGGTGCAGTGTTTTTTGCAAGTTTCAGCCAGACGCAGGTATGATTTTCACAATCTGCGCCACGTTGTTTAAATAGCAAATGCATTTTTACTTTAAGCAAAAACTGCAAAATGGATGGAAAAATAATATTAAATATAAACAATAAAATTAAATAAAACACATTTGCAAACATCAGTCAATAATCAATATGGTGCGGACATGCTGCCTATCCCCAACTGTGTGTAATCTTGCGACACAGAGGTCAATGGACGGGAAGGATTCTAAACTCACATGTGTGGACTGAGCTCATAGAAGTTTCTGTTGCGATACTCCTCCACCTTTTCTGCTGTGTAGATGGACAGGGACTTGTAGGGGTTCATTGAGATCACCACACTGCCAATGTATGTCTGTAAAGGAAAGTGAAAGAAGTAGTGAACCACTAATCAACAAAGAAGAATCAAGCATGAGAATTTGTGAAAATACCTGAAATGAGTAGAGACAACATAACCGGTCATTTATTTAATATACAGTTTATAGACTAATTTTGGTACCCGAGTGTTGTCACTGCACACTGTTAATGCACGAGTCAAAAAAAAACGTAGCCTATTATGAAAATTATGGTAATAGTGAATTTGTACTGTTATTGTGACAACCCTAAAAGTTCACTGCATTATTACATGTCAAATCTAGTTCATCCCCTGCTGAGAGACAGACATCAGCAAGCGGCGCATTTGCTGGCTCATTCTGTTGTAGGAACAGAGGCGGCAGCAGTTTAGGGGAGTAACGCTACAATATGCCTCCGTATGCAAGATCCAGATGGGAATTCCTGGGTATTGTTCAGACAGGCGGGGGGCCCGCAAGCAACTGAACAAGAGAACACAAACAAAAATGTTTGGAATCCCAGGAAGCATCAACATCACAGGGTGGTCAAAAGTGGCCAGTCTGGACAACTGTGTCTGAAATAGTCTATTTCAGAAGACTTAAACAAACATTGAATCATTTGTTCCAGCTTCTCTTTCTTTTCGTATACACTACAACAGATTTTCAACTTATCACGTTTAAAGCAAATCTCAAATGTCTAAGGAGCCTCAGAACAATGTCTATTTCTTGCTGCCGTCTTCAACCTTTCATTACAGTGAGTGTTGCATAAGGCTTGCAGCTGGAGGATCAGACCTCACCCATGGCAACACAGCCTATTGTCAAGGTGTTCACAAGAGGCATAATGAATGTTTAAGATATAAAAAACAAAAAAAAAAATGCAAATGGACAGATGAAGTGAAAGTTGAATAGATTTTTTTTTTTTTTAAATCAACAAAAGCACCAGACATCCCTCAAGGTATACACTATGCTTTGGGAAAATTAATTGGGAAAATTTCAACAACTTCATTTATCTTAAAAGCTTTTTGAACTAAATTCCTAAAATGACATTTGTTGACAAAATTTGTGCCTATGTTTTTTTTTTTATTTATTTTTTTTTTTTTGTTAAACAAAGTGAATAGTTTACATTGAAATACAAAAATAACCGAATAAACAACTGGAAATTTGATTAACTACATTAGAAGGAAAATCAGTTAACAAATGGTCTGCCTATATTTTAACTCATTTAATACCGTCATTTACTCAATTGTCATTTATCAACTGACGCAGATAGGGAATGTAGACAAAAGTTGGCCACTTTGAGGAAATAACTAAATTCCCATACATTAATTTGTGCTATTTCATAGTTTTGATGACACGGAACTTAGTAAAAAAAAAAAAAAAAAAAAAAACATGCTTCAGTATTATTAACATTCAGAGCGATTCTTCTTTCCACTCAAAGAGAAGAGAACTGACATCTCTCAAAAATATATGTGAAATATGATAGCATCCTCCCATTCCCAGATGTATTTAAACACTGTCAACAATGTTGACACTAGAGATGAGACTACTATCGGTGCATTAGAACAGGAGTAGGCCAGTCTAAATGCATCTAAATGAGACCTGGTGCACCTACATTTTGGCAGAACGAGCAACTGTGGATTAATAAAGAACATCACTAAAAGACTGAGCTACACAACTATTTTTATTTATGTTTTGCAGTTATTTCTTGCAGTTATACTGAGCAAAGTTTAATGACATCAATAAATACAAGGACCTTTGTTTCATAATTCATAGTTTCATAAAACTGGGCTCATCATAGCCTCGTTTTACAGGGCATTGATTAGATAAGGAGATAACTCTTTGTTAAGTTAGTATTGGTGAAATGTAAGTGATATATGACAGACAGTGGAGACACTCCCAGAAACTTCATGAACCGTACAATATAAGCTTAAAGGGTTAGTTCATCCATAAAAGAAAATGGCCACCCTCATGTCGTTCCAAACCCGTAAGACTTTCGTTTACCTTTGGAACAAAAATGAAGATCTTTTTAATGAAATCTAAGAGCTTTTGGTCCCTCCATTGACAGCTACACAACGGACACTTCAATGCTTAAAGGGTTAGTTCACCCAAAAAAAAGAAAACAGCCACCCTCATGTCATTTCAAACCCATAAGACTTTCGTTAATCATCGAAACAAAAATGAAGATCTTTTTATTGAAATCTAAGAGCTTTTGGTCCCTCCATTTACAGCTACACAATTGACACTTCAACGCTTAAAGTTCTTAAATAGATCTGAAAGCTAAACCATATGAATTGAGCGGTTCAGTCCCAAATATTCTGAAGAGACATGATCACTTTTATGATGAGCAGATTGAATTTAGGCATTTATTCACACATACAATCATTCACTCATTCATTAACTCACACATCAGTTGTGGTAAATGGACGCTCAAGCATGTTTGCTTGACGTGTGAGAACCAATGAGGTTCATTCTCATGTTACGCAGCATGTTTGAGCTTCAGGAAACGTTTTTTTCTTGCGTATTAAGCTGGTTTAGTTAAGCTTTGGTTTATATTCGCTGGCCACTGTTTATATGCAAATAAAAGTACAACCAAAATTAAATCCGTTCATCATATAAAGCGAGTCTCTTCGGAAAATTTGTATTTTTATGGTTGATTTGACTATAACTTTAGCATGGATCGACTTGATCCATTGAGGAGTAATTATGATCAGGCAAAAAATGTTCGCGCCAATCAAATTGATCTGCAGGGACGTTATCATTACGTCATCAAAGAGCGCTTAACTGGTTTCCCTCAGAGATGACTGCAGCTGGAGAATTGAGATGTATAGATTCCACTGTCGCGTCTGTTGTAAAATAAATCCACAGCGCATTCAATTTAATAGACGAACAGAGAACTGCAATAAAGGCATTTGTCGATCGGAAAGATATTTTTGCCGTCCTTCCTACATGATTCGGCAAAAGTGTAACTTATCAGCTGGCTCCGATGGTCGCTAAGAAGATGGGACGTAATGAAAAGCCTGTGGTCGTTGTGGTTTCTCCTTTGGTCGCACTCATGGAGGAATAAGTAAAAAAAGCAACACTCGCTATTTTACTTCTAAAATAAGTAAGTTCTGTAGTTGACAACTGTATGCAAAGTAGTTGACTTACTGCGTTGCTCTGATTGGTTGTAGGTCTACCGACTATCCAATTGAGTGCAGAGTTTTTTTGTCTTGTTTTTTCTGGTTCGGTTAAGACACGCCTCATAACCAAAGCCCTACGGAGCAGTTTCAGACTCATATTCCGACAAGAATATGAGTATGACGAAGTCAGGCTACTATAACTTGCTAACAAGAAAAATAAGTTGCACAAAGAACAAATATATTGTCGTCTAAATAATTTTGTTCTGGTCAGCACCTTTCTGTGTAATTTGCAGATTAAATACAAGGCTAGAGGTTATATTACAGGAGTGCAAATGGACATTGAGGGTAGTGGGTAGTCGAACTCTCAATTACAGACTAATCGCACTCATCAACTGTTTGTGACCAACTACACAAGTTTAGTCTTTTATTACTGGAGAGATAATAGCTCTGCAAAATATAAGCAAGACTTTATAAGGGTTCATTTTAATGGTACCACACAAAATGCAAACATGCCATTCAGCTGGATCATTTAATCTTGACATTTCCTGGTACTGAAAGCAATTTTGTATGAGGTGTGGTGACTAATGCAGCAATCCATTTGGAACATATTTCATTGCCCCACCTAAAGATAAATCTTATATAATCTCGAACATGTTTGGAGCTTTACAGCTCATGCATTGGATAGCTTGGGCATGGAAACCTGTTTGTTTTTGATTATCTCAATCGTGGTGAGTAAGTTGTCATGAAAGTTTTTTATGTGCATGTGTTTTAAAGCCATATCAGATTAAACGTCTCATATGAGTTTTTCTGAGCACTGTTTTTGCATCTTATTGAACTTAAATGGTCAAACACACACAAGGTTGTCAAAAAACACAGTCGGTTATGTCTGTGAACATAAACAGCTGGGAAAGAAATCGCAAGTGTATATTCGATTGGTGTATTAAAGTGACAGCAGTTTAATGTACAGTACCTGTTGCTGTCTATGTTGTTAATGTGAATCAAACAACAAGCGAGGAGATTAACGAGTACAACTCACTCAGGGACGGAGCTAAGCTAATAGGGCAAACTTAGGTCAAAATGGAGTGCATTCCTAAACAACTCATTTTGAGACACGGTTTCTGATTTATGGAGAATATAACAAATGGATTGGATGGATTTTTGCCATAATATGGTGGTTGCGTACACACACTGAGGACACAATTTTGTTAAAAAAAATAAAGTAAATTTAGCATAAAAGGTTCCCTTTAAGAATTAAGTGTGTAAGTTATATTGACTATTTTTCAAACAGGTTTCCTCAACACTCACAGTATCTGCTACTGGTCGAATAAGAGATAGCCAACTGAGTATTTAATAGTGAAACAGAGCTTGATCTTGCCGTAAGAAAGTATAAAATCCTCAATTCTTGTTGATATCCATTCATATCCAAAACATTTCTACTTTATATTAAATCAAAAAACGACTAAACAAATATACATGTATTCATTACTTACATAGATCTCGTTGTGATCGAACCGCTTTTTTAGATTCTCAATGAAGGTGTCTTCTGACAAGGGCTCAAGGAGGACCATATCTCCCACCCCTATCATATTGTCGAGAAGTGATGTCTTCACCTCCATTTTGGACAGCACCCCCTAGAGAAAAAGTAAGACAATTGTCAGAAAACAGTAGGCATTGACTTCCATTGACCTATATTTAATATGTCTTACATATTAAAAATACAATTTATACTTACAAATGACTTCAATACAACTCTTCAATGATAAACGTTATACATTATTGATAACATTTATTTTGATATTTTTGTGGATATTATTAACTAAAATCAAAACCATTCATTTAATTTATAATGAAATAAAAACAATGCACAAACACAAATGCACATAAAAAAAATTCTCATTTTTTTTTAAAGAACTAAAATTAAAATTTAAAAACACACACACTAAAGGCAAAGTTTATAAAAAGAAAACAAAAAACATTAAAACTTTACCTAAAATAAAAAAAAGAAGAAGAAAACAAAAACTTAAATAGATCAATTGTTTTAAAGTAATGTTGTGGACTGGAGGATTAATCTAAAAATGTAATTGTGGTATAACGTGGAGCCAACGAGCCAGATAAAGTAAATAAAAAAAATTTAAAACGCCAATATTATTACCATTTTTTTTAACCAATTGATGTTTTTGAATTACCAAATTTTGATTGTGTTATTTGAAAAACCTTTGTCTGATTCTGTCTGTTTTAAAATTACTTGCACTAAATGGTTCAAAGGATAAAATCATGTGAAAACAACATGAATACCAAGACCACATTTTAAAACAAAAATTTGGCAAATGCATTTTCAATTGAATTCAAGATTTTATCCACTTTTTGGACACTATTGTTATTGCTAAACTAAAATAATGCTAATAAATTTTGTATTTGCAAAGCAGCACTTGACTGGACTGACATGTTCAGTTCTGTTCAGGACACTAATTCCACTGGGAATTATGTAACAAAAAACCCTCGTCCCAGCTGATGACCCATAGATATTCCCAAGATGTTTAAGCAGTAGTAAAGTAATCAAAATTGTACCACTTTCTCACTAAACAAATTGAACGGCAATAAAAAAACAACAACTTTATTTCAAGGTTTACTTTAAGCAAACCCATCACGTAACATTAAATTGTGATTTCACAGTTAAACTGCAAGGTACGCTAATTTTACCCTTGTCTGGTCACTAATCCAGGTGCCAATTGCATTCAGGGCCTTGATACCAGGCTTTACCGAGCCCCCTAAACCCCCTATGCACTGTTCAAACAAATGGGCAATGGCAAAGTGTGGTGCTCAGCATAAAGCTCCTCCAATAAGAGCCTACGTTTTCACTCCCAGCTAAAAAAAAAAACAAACAAAAAAAAAAAAACAAAGCACCCAGCATCACCAGTCCTAATCAAACATCAGTAATGAAACAAGCCCAAATAAAGGGCAGACAGTGTAATTCATTGTGGTTTGTTGATAACATAAACAAGTGTCATTTGCGTGCACTGAGAAGCATGACTGAAAAAGTTTAATGTAAATGAAGGATTAAGAGGTGAAAGCCAACAGCAGATCTTGGACTGATAAGCTTGCAGTATTTAGGGTGGAATTAGTCATCAACTTTCATACTTTCTTATCCACTAGTGCACTCATAAACGTTGGCATTACATTAAGCATATAAGTACTCTAGATAAAAATAAAAAATCCTGTACATCATCCATCTTGCCAAATCAAATGATGTCTCTAGGAGGAAAATGTCCCTCCCCTAATATTGTTTGCCAGCAACTAGCAATATATAGTAGCAAATCATGGATCACAGCTGAAATAAACTACAACACTTAAACAAAAAAACAAACAAAAAAAAAAGTCTTGACTCATGAGCACATTGATTTGTGCCACTGCCACCTATACTTCCTGTTTGAACATCTATACAGAAATAAAAAACTGTGTTCGTCATTTCATCGGTTCTTTAGCTTTAGCTTTTTTTTAAATGGGCTTCTTCTATAAAATAGTGTGGAGCACATTAATAATAAAAAAGTAATAATTTAGAATTTGAAAACTTATACCTATTAAAGCAGCATTGCGGAAGTTCTGCAATTTCTTATCGTTACTGACACCAGTGGCCATTAGAGAAACTGCAGCTCGTTCTCGGTGCGCATGCTCGCACGCTCGTTGGCTGCAATTGAAAAGGCTTTTTTTTTTTTTAAACTTACGAGGAGTTTCCGTGAGCGTCTGGATTTGCTGTAGGCCAAGTAGACGAGTATGCGCATGACGTCACATTTTGTGAATTTTCACGCCAATTCGGACCCGACTCCTCCACACACAATTGAGCCTACAGGCTGATAGAGGCAACCGTGGTGAACAGTCATCGGTAACCATGCCGTAATCACTCGCCATTCTCCCTCACTCGTCCTGCTCCCAACAGTAAACATAATAAATGGCGACTGTAGAAAGCAAAAGCCGAATACCGGACATTTTGAGCAATCTCGAAATCCCGGGAAGACTCATCACGGAGACTTAATGGTAGCCTAGACTTGTTGTTTAACTACTATGTAGAGGTGTAACGATATTCGAACCGAAAAACCGCAATAGAGAACTCACGATTCGAATCGCGATACTCTCATTGCGTACCCAACACGGCCCACCCCCGGCCCCGCCCAGCCCGACTCAATGGATCTCATGTATTATGTGCACAGTCCACAAGAAATTCAGTTTTGTAAATAAAAAATAAATAGCAATATTTCTAAAAAATAAATAGCATCTGAATTTAGGTTAAAAGTCTAGGCTACAACCTTTAATGTTATAGTAATGTGCGGCTCCCAGTCCCTATATAGACCATTTCACAAGATGCAAACAACACTGGTCCAGAAGCACTTCCTGTTTCAGTTTTTTAACACTACATAAAAGCTGGGATAAAATACAACCAACAGAACATTTAAAACTGAATCAAAAAGTTAAACAAACATCTATAAGATGTTTTCTTTACATGTGAAATAAAGAAAACAGTTACAAACTGAAACAGGAAGTGCTTCTGGACCAGTGTTGTTTACATCTTGTGAAATGGTCTATAGTTTACAGCATTAGCAGATTTTTTTTAATCCCTGTGAAACATTTAATAGTAATTGAATTAATTTAAAGACTTTTTTCGTTAAACCACTGTTCAAATAACAAAAACACAAAAAAAGCCATTTTAACTTTCTAAACCGAACCGAGACGTCAAAACTGTTGGAAAACCGAACCGTCAGTTTTGTGTATCATTACACCCCTACTACTGTGCTCTGTCACAGGTAGGCGTGGCCTCCAAGGGCAGCACAGCAAGTGCATTCTGGGAGTTGTTGTCTTTCTTCTACATAAGCAAAAAATATACTGCTAATAAAATCACAGTTATCTCAGCCATCTGCTTAGAACAATGAAGCTTTTTTGAATTGTTTTGCTTTATCTTTTTTTATCTGAATTGTTTTGCTTTAAACCACCTATCTCTTGCTCAATTTGTGTCTTGGCAACAGTTGTAACCAAGCAGCCGGCGATATAATCAACTACCTGTGAAAAAGGACAGTGGAAAGGACCACAGACTAAAGGTCATACAAGACATGGAGAAACCATGGATGTATCCAGCAATTCCAGGGCTCGCTCTCCCCACTGCATAGCAACTCCTGGCAAAATCTACAAGTCTGACTGAATACCAGCTGCTCTGGAAGGGCAAATTATTGACCAATAAACATTCTCGTCAGAAAAACAGTGTTTTTAATTCTTTAAATCCATGATCATCCGTGCTTAAAATACATATTGGTAAAGATTTGGTTTCACATAGACAGACTTTATATAAAAACTTGTTTAAGAATAGCATTTATTTTAATATCGTTTGGTTTATTTTATATTGCCTGTATGCCACATGGCACAAATGGGCAGTTTATACTGTGGACTTTATACAGAAAGAGGAGAAAAACAAGCCAGGAAACCAGGTAATAAACAGGCACCAGCAAATATGTGGTATTAAATCTGCCAGTGATGGGGTGGGTATGTCTCTGATCATAACATTTATTCTAGAAGGAAAGATTACAGAAGGGAGAAACATAAGAATGTACTGTAAGTCCAATCAAAAGTGGAAACTTGGAAACGGTTGTGCTACTAAAATTTCCAAAAGCGATCCTCAGTAACATGAACGTGAATGTGTGCTGGTAGCCTAGTAGCCCAGATTCCCCCAAATGACATCACTACATTTGAACAGCCCTAGTGTACATAGACCATATAATAAATCCTTCAGAATCAATCCACAGATCAAGAGAGGAAGGATTAGTTGTTGTTGTTTTTTTTGGACAAGGACAGCACATCATCTGGTATTTATTAATTTATTTATTGTACTGGAATTGCTGCAATGATTTTGATAAAACTATTTAAAAACACAATTTTAATCATTTGAGACAAAGCATAAAAGCTGATTGAATGAACAAACAAATGGCTGAATGAATGAACGAATGGCTGAATGAACGAACAAATGATTCTAGGCAACAATATTTGGTTGAATGTTGTTTTTTCTCAAATATATTGAATATCTTCAAGGCGATATTGGGATAAATATATACACTGATACAAACTACTTCCTATTTTCACTATTGCAAAGGAATTGGTGCTTTAAACAAATGGGTCATGCAGTTTCCATACAGTGCATCAGGTCAGACATGTTTTTCTGGTCATAATTGGATGCAGTTGATGTGCATTAGCAAATAAAGGCATCATTGTAGGAGCCAGATTTCAGAATCATCGCATAGAACTCCAGTCCCCACAACTCTTTATAAATCCATCAGATTAAGCCGCGTAGTATTTTTAGTTACATGACTGCCCTAAAAATGAAGCCACCATGTGCAGCATCAGCATTAGTATTTCACTGGATTGACCGGCTGTCACCTTTCTGAACTGGCCCACACCCAAAACTCTGCAGCTGCCCTACATTTCTAAGTGCAACACCAATAATGTATAATTTAAAATTCCTGGAAGTGTGCCACGTGTGATTTTCCATACACGGACAAGGCAGAGCAGAAAGCCCCTCTTTTTAATCGTTCACCAAAAACAACCAGACATGCACTAATACAACTGAGATCAAACAGACTCTCCATTTACATTT